ATATATAAACTTCTTATACAGTCAAATTTTTCTCCACCCTCAAATATGAGAAGTATTTTGAAGTATGATATTAAGAAATCTGATTTATTGAAAATAGATAACGAGAACAGTTCAGCAGGTGTCCTAACTGCTCCTTTAGTATTTGGAAGAGTTGTATGATGGTAGAGAATACATTAGCTTTAGAATAAACAGCTTGAGCAGTTATCTTTATTTGGAAAGTTACTTAACAGTGCTGGGCCTCAGTGTCCTCACCATAAAATGGTAGTGATAATACCTACTTCACAAAGTTGCTAACAAGATTATTTGAAATAAAACAATGTGCAACTATATATGGTATACTACTGTTCCTGGGACCTAACTATTCTTGGAAATTGTGTGTATTATCTTTTAGTTGGGGTTGTTGGTTTACACTCTACCAAATGACAGTTCTCTTGGAACCATTGAACTCACAGTCCTATGTTTTTGTAAGAAATTTTGTCTTTGCTGGTTAGAATTATTCCCTAAGAAGATGCTTCTATTCATCTTATTAGAACTTTATGCTTTGGGAAAATAGAATGAAATTTTAATTTAATTCATTGAACAGATTCATGTGATGGGAGACCAGGTAGGAAAAATAAAACTATGGTAGAAGGGGGTCTCATTTAAGATAATGGGAGAGAGATCCCTGATTTGGTCCGAACTCTTTCTCCAATGAATGCTCACATTTAGATGCTACTTAGCAAAACAACTGAGAGAGTAGGTATTTCTCACCAATTTGTGACTTTGATTCCCTATTCAGTAATGGATTTGCATTTTAAATAAAGGATAATTATGAAACATAACAAAGTACTACTTGTAAGTTTTGTTAAAATTTTAAATAAATATTGATAAAATAAGTGCCATGCCTTAACTGAGTGAGACCCTTTCAGCAAACATGCAGTCACACAAGCAACAGGAAATCACTAAGAGGTCATGCTTCCCTCAGCAAATAGAACAGATGTCCATAACGAAAATTTAGGACAGGACATACAACCTCCCTAGGATCAAGAAATCCAGTATTATCTGTACCCCTGAACTGACCAGCCTTTGAACTTTGACCACAAGCATTCTACCCAGATTCCTTAGGATTATAACCCCATCCCCAAACACTATAAAACACTTCTTCTCTGGAAAGCTACTGATATCATTCACCATTTCAGCCTGCCTGCCCTCAGGTGGAACTAAATCAGTTTCTATTGTTTCCACAAAGCCTGTATCTGGGTAGTCTCCTCTGCACACTTTGTAACAATAAGGTTATAATGTTTAAAAGGTTAACATCACCTTTTTTTGAATGGGGTTGGAAATTATTTCCATTCTTTTTTGTCTGTATTTTTACATGCACTTATTAACTTTATAGTAAGAAACGATATACTTGGGATAATCAATAATAGAGACAATAATAGAGACAATAATAGAGACAAAGACAGATTACTATTATTTCCTCATAAAATACTTCCCTTCACTTTGAACACACACCCCATCATTCCTGGTAACATGTCTTTTACTATAATAAGTTATCCAAAATTTAAACATTAACTACACTTTTGATCACTCCTTGTACTATATATTCATATGTTTATGTATGTGTACATAGGAAATCAATTTAGCATTTCATGGTTCCGGTTCCTCTTTTGTAAAACTACAATGAATTCCTTACTGTTGGCATCAAATTCAAAACAACACAGTGTATATAAAATAATGTTGAGGAAAGTTTCTTCAAAATGTTTGATGGAGGGAGATAATTGAAATTTTGAACTATTAAATATTTTAAATGCATATTACAACTCATCTATAAGTATGAAAATGAAAACAAAGAAAGTATATTTTTTGTGCTGTGTATTAGACAACAGAAAAGGAAATACTTTAAGAAATGTAAACTATTTAGCATTCCTGCAGGGCAAGATAAATTTTTAGTGATTTTTCTACCCAATGAAAATAGAGAAAGCTATTCCTGAAAGCATTAGAGATTAGATTTTAAAACATAGGTTTTGTTTCATTTTGTTTTGTTTTGTGGTACAGGGGATTGAATCAAGAGCCTTATACATGCTATACAAGCACTCTACCACTAAGCAATACCTCCAACCCCAAAGAGTAGGCTTTTTAGTTTTGTTTTGTTTGCAGAACCAGGAATCAAACTCAGGACCACGCCCCTGAGCTAAATCTCCAGCCTGCAGAGGGTAGTTTTAGTGTGTGATACTCAGATCTATGAGATCTCCAAGACATTCCAGAAGGCTTTTAAGGTCAAGCTATTTCTCACAGTAATACAAAGATGTCATTTGCTTTTTTTGCTGTGTTGACATTTGCACTGATGATAGGAGAGCAGTAGTAAGTAAACTCATGGGTCTCAGCACATATTAAGGCAGCAACACCATACTGCACGTGCAATCCTTATGCTCTTTGCAAGGAAGCATTCATCACAATAATAAAAGTAAATTCTAGTTTCAACTGATTATTCTGATGAAGCCATAAAAGTCATTAATTGTGTTAAATATGCATCTTTGAACATGTGGCATATTTTTTTAACACATAGGAAGCATTTGTAAAGCATTTCTCCTGCACACAAGTACAATGCTCACTGAAGGAAAGCATATATGTGATTGAGCTAAAGTGGACTTCTTCTTATGCAACACTATTTTTATGTGAAAGCATAACTGACAGCAAAACTATTATTCAACCAGTGTTTGTCAAATATGTTCTTAAAAATGAACGTAGTACGACTGTCATATTGAGGAAAATGCTTGCCAGGATTTGTTGTCAATGACAAAGTTCAAGGTAACTAGAAAATTACAGTTTAGGAAAGTGTTCATTTGCCACCCATAAAATGAACAATAACAATATCCCCAAGTTTCCCAATTCTTTGACTTACTTCATGAAACTGATGGTAATTTTTTGATATTGCACCATGAAATCTTGAAGATTAGCATAACTCATCAAATATTTTTCTAGTGACCAAAGCATAATATTGCAAAGTTATGCATAGTTAAAAGAATCAAAGTGCAAGATTGACAGATTTTAATGTAACAGAATATGAAATGTTCATAGGTATTGTTTCATATCCCACATTAAAACTTGTACCTGGCATCTAGTTTGATGTAATATCAAGAAGAATGTCCATAAATCACTGGAAAAAGCTGTTAAGTACTTCTGTCTTTTATGACTATATATCTATGTGAGGTTTGGCTTTCTCCATGAAATTCTACCAAAACAAATAAACAAATAAGAAATGATTGCAATAAATTAAATGCAGACCAGACTCAAAAATCCAATTGTCATCTCTTGACTCAGATGTTTAACAGCTTAATAAAAATGTAAGATAGTATTCTGTTTTAAAATTTTAAAAATTTGCTAATTTTTGTTTTGTTCTTGGAAATATGATTATTTTTATACCAATATGTTATAGTAACAAACTTTTTAAATAAAGTGACTGTCAGTATCTATGAAACTAAAGCTCTTTGGGGTCTTCAATTTTAAGTGTGTGGGAGTCCTGAGATCCAAAAGTTTGGAGACCACCAGCTCAAAATAACTAGAGGTAAAATAAGTGTGGATGAGAGGAAGAAAACTAATACTTGTGTTTTGAATATCTGTTATATTCTGAGCTCGTTCAATTCTCATGATTGGGAAATCAATATTATAATCCCTGTTGACAGGTAAAAATATTTAGTTTAATCAAAAGATTAATTTCATTTTGGTGTGTTTCTGTGTATGGGTGATATTTAGAGATGAACGGAGAGAACTAAGAATGTAAAGGGAAAGGAAAATCAAATATGTTGGGGCAGAAAAGGACTACTTATTTATAACTTTAAAACTTTATAATTTTTTAAACTTTATAATTTTCTATTTATAACTTGAATTTTGCCAGGAAGAATAAAAGAAACACCTTTTCAGAATAGGACAAACTAAGTTTTAAAAGACATCAGGTACATAATGCTCTTCTAGATCCTTGCTTGCTATACCCTGTGCTCTGGTCTCCCCCAAGCCACACTCTCCAGTTGTTAATGGCACCCACTATATATTGGGAACTCATCATGGTCAGCCCCAAAGCCAAAGGCTTCTATTCATGATCTCATCCCACTCTTACAGCCACTGTGGTATGATGAGCTGGCTCCCCAAAGAACTTCAGTTCTTAAATGCACCAAGGTCTTTTCCTCAGATATCTCCATTCCTAGCACAATGCTTGGTATATAGTTGGAGCTCAATAAATTTTTGTTGAAAAAAATGAATACATGAATGAAAAACATAAATCATAGCTAAATGGAGAGCCAAACTGCTCTGATTTGTCTAGAAGCCCCATTAAGGATAGGGTCTCCTTGCTAGTTTAAGGTGTTGGGCTGTGAACTCAGCTGAGCCATCCAACCTTGTTGACTTTAATTTTTTCCTCTGATAACACTACAGACTCAATGTTTCAGATGGCTATTAATGTACTTCGTGTTGCTATCTCTTATCTGGTCTGTGACAGGAAGAATGATTTTAAATATATCCCAGAGGCAGAGCTAATATTTTGTAATCATTGGTAGAATTGCCCTACTAGACTCTATTGAAATTTATTACAGGAGAAAGACATAATCTAGGAAAGAGTTAAATACAAATTTTAGGTAGGTATAATATCCTCTGATTTTAAAACAATATCATAAGCATCAGAAATGTTTTATATTATACATTAAGAGGTTGCTAACACTGAGCTTCTTTCCCTTAATAAATGAACCCAATAATTAATAACTATGATCATCCTTACTACTTATTATTCAGAATTTTGAGAATGCAAGTCATTGTCACTCTTTCTAGAAATCTGTGCATACAGTGTTACAGGAACTTTTCAATGCTGCATAGTGTCCATCTTTTTTTCTCCCTAGCAGTCTTGTTTTGGAGAAGAGTATACTTCCTTTGCAGCCCGCTATGGTCATGTGTAAGTCTAAGGTATTGGGTAAAATTTCTGGCAAAACTTGTTTGGAGAAATAAAATCCAACATCTACTCATAATTCAAAACAAAACAAGAAATTTACCAAACCAGGGATAGAAGGGAATTCCCTTGATTTGATAAAGTCCAAACAACAAACAACATATTTAAAGGTGAAATGTTGCAACTTTTCCCTAACAACATTATTATGCCAAAGTTGTCCTCTCTCACCAATGTAAAACTTCATTTCTGATATTAGCCAGCATGAGTCAAAAAAAGAAAAAAGAAAAAAGAGGTACAGATATTGTAGAAGTTATTCATAGATGACATAATCATGTACACAGAAATCCTGAGGAATCTATGAAATCAGAAAATCTATGCAATGAGAAAATTTATTAGGGATGCAAAATTAGTTGCATTTCTATAAATCACCAGCAAATCATTGGAAAAAAACATTTTAAACATGCCCCTAGGAATACATAAAACTAAAGATGTGCAAGATCTGCCTTGAAAATAGTAAAATGTTGCTCAGAGAAACTAAACAAGATATAAGTAAGTGAAGATATATGTCATGTGAAATGCTTGGCAAATTGAAACATTCGCTATGTTTAAGATGTTCGTTCTTCAAACTGATCCCCAGTTTCAATATAATCTTGGTCAAAATCTTAGCCTATTTCTTGAAGAAATTGATTCTAAAATTTATGTGCCAATATGAAGGACCTGAGAGAGCCAAAACTAAAGAATAATAAAGTTGGAGGACTTATACTCCTTATTTCAAGACTTTCTATGAAACTACAGTAAGCAGGATAAGTGAGGCATTAGTATTATGTGGACGCAGTCAATGGGTGGGTTAATGAAACAGAGTAGTACCCACAATTAGTCTCACACATGTATAGTCAATTGCTATCTAACAAAGACATCAAGAACAACTGGTTATTTATATTGAAATAAAAATAAATGAAAATAGGCTTTTTAATCTCATTTCAAATTTTACAACTCATTGGTCATTATAAATTGAAATTTATGAGCTTTAACCTTAAAGCTTCTAAAGAAAATCATAAGAAAAATCTTTGTGTTCTTAGCGTTGGCAAAGATTTCTTAGCAAAAAATGCACTAGCCATAAAATTAAAAACGTTTGTTTCATTAGAGACAAATTATACAAATTTTAAAATCTTGGGGAAAATATTTGCAAAACATATATTTGACAAAGAACTTGTATCCAGAATATACAAAGAACTCTTAAAATACAATATTAAGAAAGCAATTTATTTTTTAATAATGGGTAAAGGAGTTGAAAAGATATTTCATATAACAAGAAATAAGAATGGCACATAAACACATGAAAAGATGTTCAACATCACTCATTGTTAAGGAAATGCCAGTGAAAGCTATGGTGAGATACCACTATAGACCTAATAGAATGGCTAAATTTAAAAAGACTAATTCTTTCAGTGAGCAAAAAGAATTAAGTGAATTTAATTCTACTAACACCAAGTGTTAGTATAGAAGTGAGGGGAAACCTTCTCACATTGTTGATGCATATGTAAAAAGTGGTATATCTGCACTAGAAAGCAGTTTGATATTTTTCCTAAAAATTAAAAGCACACTTACCATACAATGAGTATAGCACTTTCAATCTATTTATCCACGTTAGAAAAAGAAAAACACATCCATACCAATATTACATGCAATTGATCATGGCAGCACTTTTTCATGACAGCCAAAAAATAGAAATAACATGAGAGTCCATCAATGGAAAAATGAGTAAACAACATGTAGTAAAGCCTTAAATGGGCTATTTATTAAGACAGAAAGGAACAAACTGCTGATATGCACAAAATCATGAATAAATTTTGAAAACATTATGTTGAGCAAAATATATTGTATAATTTCATTTACATAAAATGTATGAATAGGCAAAACCAATCTATAGAAATCAGAAAGCACTTCCCTCTGAGGAAATAAAATTGACTTATTGGTGCATGGGAGAAATTTCTATGGTGATGACAGTGTATCGCATCATATCTTGGGTGTTGATTATCAAAACCTGTCAAAACTGTGTGTTTTTGATGTGTACATTTTAAGTGCATGTCAATTGTAGCTTTAAGAGTAAGCAGAGTCCCCTTTATTTACCTGCCCTCTTTCCCCTATTATCCTGCTGCCTGAAATGAGAAAATCATGATTAGTAGCCAGCAGCCTTTTTGGACTATGAATATAAAATCCAGTGCTAAGGACTGTGGACAGAAAGCAAAAAGGCTCAGGCAACTTCCTGATATTTGTGGGGCTGCCATACAAGCCCCGAACTGCCTTTCTTTGGAATTCCTTTGTGTGAAAGATTTAAATTTTTTTTCTTTTTTAAAGCCACGGTCTCTAGTACTTTCAACCAAACGTGATTCCTAAGAGTTATAATCACTGAAAATTCCTTTCATGATTAAATTATTTTTTTCTGTTAGATTACAGTTAAGAACTAGACTGAAGTATTTTTAAATGATATACTGAAACATGTTTATATTTAATAGAGATTGATTCCTTTGGTGTATAAAAGTATTAATATTTAACATAAATTTGGAAAATCATTTTGTACATACTAGAAGACACAGCAAAGAGCTGGTTCATATCTTGTTACAAATCACTGATTAGTCATGTGGCCATTGGCAAATTACTAACCTCTCAGGGCTGCTGTTACTCTCTCTGAGGACAGGGCTGTTGAGACCTGCTTTAAGCTGCTGTCATTACAGAGGTTGAATGAAGTCATGTATATAAAGCCTTCATCACAGGGTCTGGCCCAGAGCAAATGGTAGTTCTTCTTCAATGCAAGGCTATTAAATAACTTTATTTCCAACACGTCACTGACAGTACAGGTAAACCATCACAGAGCTATTTGCCCTTGACCATCACCTGCATAATACATGGTTTTAATAATTGACTATAGCATGTTATAGTGGAGTCATTGCCTCATTTCCTATTGACTTTAATAGCAATGTTGGCTGCAAAGTCTTTCTCCAAGCAATGAGTGAAGCCCACATTTCTCAAAGTATGTCAGTGGAAGCTGCAAAAATTATTTTTGGCAGACATCATTATAGTGGAAGAAGACAGAAAAATGTACATCACTGTCAAGCAGCTTCAGAGAGTGGTGGTCATTAAGGATCAAAAGTCTCTGGGGGGTGGGGGTGGGAGCACAACTGAATGGAACCTACAGTGAGTGAAAGGCCCAGCCCTTCTGCCTGCAGAACGCAAAAACTAGTTTGCCTACACAGGAAGCAGAGGCTTCAAGGACCCAAGGTTAAAACCATGCAATAAAGATGACCTCAACTTGGCTGCAAACAACCTGGGCCCTGAGAAAACTGTTGAGATCCAAACAGACAGGAGGGGAATGCCAGGGAGTTGGCAAGTTCCTTGCAAGTGCAGCTCAGGGTATAAGGGTGGGGTATCTCTATAGAAATCAGTGGAGTGCTATGCCAGAGAACCACTTACTTACCTGCAAGGGTTAGCAATTTCCTCTGGTGTTATTTTCATAAAAGGGGAGACGGGCTTTTCCACAAAAGATCCAAAGCCCAGTCTAAAGTTGCTAGTCAATTTAGACATCTCCTTGGAAAGCAGAGAGCCCAACTCTTTGATTGTGTTGAGGTCATCATTCATGGAGGCAGAGAGGTCCATGAGGTAATACAAGTCCACTGGGTAATCCTCAGTCTGGCGGACTTGCACTTGCAGCGTCTGTTCGCTGCCTACAAAGTCCCATGAGAAAAACAAATCCATAAAAACACAAAATTTATTTACAACTAGCTGATCTCTGGATCAACTGCTATTTCACTTTTTTTCTTTTCTTTTCTCCTCTTTCTTATCTCTCATTCTTTTCTTCCCTCCCTACCTCCCTCCCTCCCTCCTTCTTTCTTTCCTCCCTCCTTTCTCTTCCTTCTCTTCTTTTTTCTTTCTTTCTTCTTTCTGCTTTCTTTCTTTCTTTTTCTTTCTTTCAACAAGACTTTTGATATGTTATCTTGGCTAGTCTTGAATTCTTGATTGTCCTGCCTCAGCCTCCTGAGTAGCTGGGATTTTGGTGCATACCACCAAGCCTAGTTCTGTTGTTTCAATTACAATTTACCAAAGATACATACAATTTGATGAACTATGTGGTAGAGTTTAGAAATGAATAAGCCCATGAAAATCTTTCAGGAAAGAGTTTAGTAGTACTGAAGTAGGCATAACAGGATATTTTATGTCTTCTTGGAGAATTAGCATCCATTTAGATGAAAGATAAGATGGATTTTTTTGTGTGGTTTTAGAAAAGGTGATTCAAAGGGGAGTTTAAATTTACATTTCAACCCTTGAAGAAACGTGAGGTAAGCCTGAGCAACATTTGAGTAATTCAAATGGTTATTAGTAGAGAAGACTTCTTTAGTAACAGATTTGGAGTGCAAGTGATCAGCATGAATAAAGAAAGGTGTCAGCAATTTCCGAGAGAATAGAAAATCTGAGTCGTAATCAATGATATGTGATATGCTAGGATATATATTAATGGATCGCAATATTACCATATGTAGTGTGTTTATAAGACTCCTCTTTCTTCTATTAAGATCATACCATACCTGGTCTCAATTTAAGAATCAAGCTTTGAGGCGCAATCTGAACAATATCAGAACTATTCTTCTGTCTGCCTACACTGAGAGGCTTATTTTTGAGTATTTCCACTTGGGAGACAGGGTTTTCAATGAAGGTTAATTGACATCCTTTGGCTAAAAGGTTTGCTGGGGTATCACACCTTTCACTAACTCCAGATGGGTGAGTAAAATTCTAAAACAGAAAAAAAAAAGAGAGAGAGGAAAAAAAGACAAATCTGCATTTCTTTAGAACAGGCCAGTAATTAAACTTTTAAACATGCATTGCTAGTTAAGCATCTTGCCCTTCTAAGTATATCATATCCTCACATGACTGACAGTGATTGTAGGTCTAAAGTTAAGTTATAGTTGAATAACCAGAGAATTCTGCCAGTAAAGTTTTGAGTAAAACTGGAGTGTCCTTTAATTATATTTAATTGAATTCCTGTAGGAGTTCTTTTCTGAGACAAGGTCTTTCTATGTAGTTCAGGCTGGCCTTGAACTCTATGAAGCCCAGGCTAGCCTTCAACTTGGGTAATCCTCCTGTCTCAGCCTTCAGAATGCTAGGATTATAGGCATGCACCACCATTCCTGGCTTAATAGTTTTTATTTTTTAAAAAGTCATTTCTTTAAAGCTTTATCCTATGTCATGATGGACCCTTAAAGTATTTGAGTTCACAGACTTGACATTATTCTGCAAAATTATTTGTTTGTGATGACTTATTAGTTCCTGGAATCCTGGGACTGTCCGATCTTTGCAACATGTCTATTATCAAATCCACTGACATACAAAGATTTTTCTGTAGGTTCGTACAGGACTGGGATTATGATATCTCCCTATCTGTCACTCTGTACCAGCTTTTAATTCATTGATGTGTTATATTACAGCATTCCTTCACTAAAATCAACTTCTTGAGGTCTCTAAGCATAGCATCTTAAAATGGTCTTTTCCAGGGCTTTTTAAAGCTTTCCAAGATTTGAAGATGAGGAAGAAAAGTAAAAGAGAAGATTAAATTAAAAGCCTACTTTCTGTACAGGACTCTGGCATTTCCTAGCCCTCTTTAGATCTACCTGTGTAGCAGGGCAGTGAGGTGTAGTGTTTCCCAGCATAGATATGTCCATTCTGACTCTGCAACGCCCAGAGCAGAGAGATGGAGCCAAAAGATGAGTATCTGTCTTCTCCAACAGCCACGGCTGCCCTTGCTCTGGTGCTAGGCAAAGCTGAACCTGAAGCCACTTGACCCAAGCTTAGCAAGAACTCTCATATTCATTTCCTTCCCCCTTAGACATCTAAGCCACTCTTGCCTTTTCCCCTCCAACTAGCAAAGGTACATTTCTTCTGAAATTTACTTTTAAAGATACAATTTGTTATTTACCAGTAGTCAGGCCTAAGCCTATTTGAGGCTGTCAACCAGGCACGGCAAACTATAGCTTGCTATTATGTAGTGAAGGCACGAGTGCTAGAAGGCTTCAGAATCCGTCTCAGCGTAATACTATTGCTATCTGTTGTGGTCACAGCCTTAGCCAAAAGTTAGGAAGTGATATTAGCCACACAACCTATTTTCTATCTGCACTGATTAGAAGCAGAACTTACTGCTCCACCTACCTCAGCTGAAATACCGATTGCTTCTAGCATTAGAATGGCCTCCTAAAACAATTTGACCATGAGATCTGACAATCACTTGGTTGCCAAATATTATCCATAAGCAAAGCTATCAGTAGCACCACAGGAAGTACTTTTGAATTAATGCTAAAAACAATGTTTAAATAAAAAATTTAGACCAATTTGTTATTTAAGTTGCTGGCAAAAAACATGTGAGTTGGTCCCTCATGGTTTTTTTGTTTTGTTTTGTTTTGTCCCAGGATCAAACTCAGGACTTTGTGCTTGTGAGTCAGATACATGCTACTGAGCTACATCCCTGGCCTCCTCATGTATATTCTTAATCCTGCTTTCTTTTTCTTTTCTTTTTTATTCTATCATCTATTTATGTATCAATCCACCCACCTATCTGTCTATCTATTTTGCAGTTCTTGAAATCAAATCTAGGACCTCACACGTGCTAAGCAAGTCCTCAACTACTAAGCTACACCTCCAGCTCCTCTCAACCCTGCTTTTTAGACATGAGCTTGGTAAAGTTTGTCCCTTAGATTTTGTTTGTGACCCACAGTCGGGGCAGTGGTGGGACACTGAGCCATGTTTGTGCTCTCTTCTCTGAGTGGCCACATTGATAAATGTGGGATTTGGTGTTTAACAGTTACAGCCCAATTCTGAGTTCTGTGTCTAGATTTGCTTTTCTTTGGACATACTATTTGGCTTTTGCTGAACTTATCACTGTAGCATTGGATTTGCGTTTAGGTCCTCTTTATGAGATTCAATAGATAGAAACTTGTTTTAAAAATTTAGAAAACTATCATATCTGTTTATTACCATGAATCATTTATAGATTTTTTTTAATAGAGTCACAGGATAGACTGATTTAGGATTGCTTGTCATATATTCTCAAATCATCTTCATACTAATTTGCAGTTTACAGTTTGACAAGATAAAGAATACCTGCTTGGGGCTTTATCACTGATGTGGTACAGAATCATTCAGCTAATGAAAATAAAAAAATTTTTTAAATGACAATGTCTGGGTAGTAATCTTTCCTCTAAACCTAGAATATTTCTCATAGAACCTATCAGTGACTTGCAGGAAATCCTAGTGCCCAGGTAGAATATAACTATAGTATCAGTGTCAAATGTATGTTTAAATTTAGAAAGTATCATCTCAATGACTCTGACTATCTAGGGAGAAATATTTCATATGTAACCCATAATAAATGGTTTTAAAATAAAAGGAAAATTGGGTTAAATAAAAGAAACTGAGTGCTTTTAAAGAATATATTGACATCCAGTCCTTCCATAAATTGCTTTTAAAAGTAATCACACACATACCATTTTGATCCACTAACATTTATGTTTTTCCTTCTTGATGTATTTTACTCTTATAATCCTACTGAGAGGACACTACCAGAGTTGTCACTGAGGAAGTGAGGTAACTGCAAACAGTTTTTAAAAGCATGTTGAGGTCATTTGTTTTACCTCCTGGGAGCACCAGGCACACTGCGGTCCAATGAGCAAGCAGTCACCACAGGTCTCTGCACCTCCCGTGGCACAGCCACCTACGTGCAAACCCAGCAAGAGGCAGGGATTAAAGTCACTTCCATCCATTCCACATCAGAAACCTGTGCCTCTCAGATTACTCCAACAAAACAATGTCAAAGCTGATTCTGTTTTCGAAGATTGGCCCTCGCAATGTTAGCGATTCTTATAAAAATTGGTAATTTATATCTCTCACTCTACAAATATGTGTGCCTCATAAACCAGAAATTATCATTCTCATTTTTCTTAAAATATAAAAGTAACTGTTCACCAATACAGGCTCATCTTGTTTATTATCCTTATTCAACAACTGCCACTTTAATTTTAAAAAAATATTTGAAGCCATTAAACTTGCTATTCTTATGTGTAGTATTTCTGTTTTTGAAATAAACCCTTTTTCTCTCTCCAGATTATTACTCTTAACTCGCAAATCCTTGCTGTACAATAAAAAGTTTCCAAAACAACTGTCAGAATAGCATTAAGAAGTCCTATTGTTCAGTAATGTTTAATTAAAATGCCTGTTCAACCTTTGTATTTATTTATCTTGAGCCTTAAACATTCACCGTCGGAACAGTCCAGTGCTTACCTGTAATTTATTAAAGTGTTTGCTGGGTGGCAAAAGAGCTATCAAGCAGATTATATTAAATAGGACTTCAGATCCAGTTTCTGAACCAAATGACAGGTTTGTCAAGCACACTGTGAAAGCAATATATCAGAGAACTTAGGTCTTACCTTGTACGCTCTCATCCCTTCCAAGAAACAGAAAGAAGAAGCAAAGCAGCTCAATCCCCATTCGTTTCAGTTCTCGCTGTGCAGACAGAGTAAAGAACGAATTACCTTCAATGTCATAAGACCAAAGTTGAATATCGTTAAAGTCTTTCTTTCTTGAAGTGTAAAATTTTAAATACTACTTACACTGCTTTGAATAGGAACTTGAGATGTAAATTTAAAAGTTTTCATTAAGACTAAAATGAAAGCAGAGGCTACCTGGACAGGTAAAGAAGAAAAGCTGTGTTTAAAAGCAACTTCAACATGATTTACTTCCTTGTTCTCCTTATAAGGAAGGCAGGTGTACGATAACCAAGAAGGTGGGGAAATTCATTCAGTAGAAATTTTGTGTTCTATTGGTCTCTCTGCATCCTACAGAAATTCAATATCTTTAGTTAAATATTGATCAATGAGATGTGAAAAGGGCAAGTAAAATACAATTGTTTCTGTAATAATTTTAATTTAATTAAACAGCAAAGATGCAAAATAAAATGTAAGTTTTTATATTACATGAAAGGAGGATTTAAAAAATAAGCTAACTAAAATACCTGAGATTTTTGTAGTCCGTGTTAAATCCTCTGCAGAGAAATGAAATGAACTCTGAAAAATAAAAATACAATTTTACAGTCAGATTAGAAGTTAGGCTAGGGAATGCAAAACACTTATTATTTTTCAAACTGAATGAAGATATTTTTTTTCCAGAAGTATAGAATTCTTATTTTAAAAGTTATAGTAAAGGACTGAGGATTTAGCTCAGTGGTTCTGCTGCCTGCCACACAAGTGCAAGGACCCAAGTTCACCCCCAGAACCAATAAAAAAAGATATATTAAAAATAAATATAGTGCAAGGCAGGGAATTTAGCTCAGTGGCTCCACTGCCTGCCCTGCAGGTGCAAGGTCCCAAGTTCAATCCTTGATACCAAAAATAAATGAATAAATAAACAAACAAACAAATAAATAAAGTGTATGAAAGTCATAATGGGTCAAAATAAGATAGTCTAAAAACGACAGCAACAATAGGGCCCAACATTCTGAACCCCTCAGGAGAGGGACACAAAACTCTTTCTAAAGTTCTGTTCTAGGACTGGGGGTAGCTCAGTAGCAAAGCATTATAGGATTGAACCCTATCATACTCAAGGGCACAGCTCGCACCTTCAGGTTTGTTGGAGCTGAGAGAAGTTCACTCTGAGCAGCCGATCCCAATTAATAGGAAAGGAGGAAGTCAGGGAGGTGAGGAAGGAGGAGGGGTCCAAGACGGAGATGAGGATGAATCCATGACGCCCTGAGGGGATCCCCTGAAATACTGACTTGAGGTTGAATTATTCTGAAAAGCTCCTGACCACTTTATTTCATTACCAAAACATTGAGCTGAGGCCCACCAGTGAGCACACCTCTGTAACACATCACACCTTTCTCAGATTGTCATCAAAGACTCCATCAAATTCATTTCAACTGCATCTTTTTCCTGCACTTTACTGAAGATGAAACCGTCAAACCAAATCAACACCAATACCAATGCAAGAGGGAGCAGAAAATTAAAAATCTGAATATTTGTGAATGTATAAAAAATTATAATAGGACAATTCCTCCTTTATAAAATGTTCAGATCTTTGCGGAAGTTTTGTGTGGTCTTTGGACTCAAAGCCATTTTTTCCACTATTTGGGAAAGCTCAGTGACTCTTACATGGTGGGTGTGTTGTCTTACCAGTCTGAGTCATGAGTGTCCAGACATCCCTAACAGAGAAGGGCCTGAATCCAGGGCTGACGCCCCAGGAAAGCTACACCTGCACTGCGACTAATGAAGCAATTAGCAGTGTCTCTGATGGGAGGAGCTCCATCCACAGGAACACCTTTTAAACCATGAGCAGATAAGACTGAAAGCTGGCCATGTCCCTTACTGTGACATCTGCAAGAGCCCCAGTGGGCATTCTCCAGGAGTTAGGCAGAGGGCATTGGTGAGGTGCAGGAGCTGCAAAAACAACCTGTGCCTGGAGTGCCAAGAGAGAATTTATTTTGGAGGCAGCAAGAGTAGACACCCCCCTACCATGTACGATCCCAGTAAGATCCAGGTGTCCCTGAAGGTGGAAGAGATGGATAAGAAGACCAAAAGGAAGACAATAACTGAGAAAGTTGTGAGTTTCCTCCTAGTAAATGAAAATGAAAAGATTCATGTAACAAATGAAGATGATTTTATTAGGAAATTCAATTGTAAACCCTATCAGCATCTGCAGGTGCTTTCCATTTTTGGAAGTACTAGGTATGAGACATTGCATACCCTCAACCACACTTTCTTTTGTAGCTATGAAGTCTTCAAAACCTCCCCTCCACTGTAGGTGTATGGGCAGCCTGTGACCCAGTCCACAGAGTGCATGGTTAAACATGGAAGGGCTCTTTGGGGCTACAGTGAATCTAAGCCAGGGAATCATACATCATCATCTATTGAACTCATGCGGATCAGTTGTATAATGACTTCTTCAAATTCCTTGGAGATGCCTCGGAAGCTTATATGAAGAACTTCACCAAGGACTTTAAGACTACCACTGACTGCTGTGGCCTGGATGTTGCCTTATCCACTCCAGGCCCTGCAGCTTTTATTTCCCATGAGACCATGCACACTCATCTCCTAGGTTCTGATCTCCCCTCCGATGGGCCGGAGAAGCTCATTCAGGACTGGTTCAGGAAGCTGAGCCACTTCCCCAAAGCCTTTGGTTCCATTCACTACAAGGGAACAAGGACTTACAATCTCCACCCTCCCCAGACTTCTCTGGGCGCCAGTGTGCTTTGGAGCAGCAGCTACAGAACAGTGTCACCCATTCTCCCTGGCACACAGGGCTCATCTTCAAAGCCCTGAAGGTATTGAGCAACCACTTCAGCAGTGAAATTCCTGATAGCAGGATGGCATATAGCTCCTTCCCAGATGAGTACTTCACCTGCTCCTCCATGTGCCTCACCTGTGGGATTGGATGTAAGAACAGTACAAACCATGAGAAGGAAGGAATGATGGAATGTCCTAACTGTGGGGTGGTCTGTTGGAGCTGTCAACACCGGCTTGGGAACCAAGACCCTGTGGATACAGTGGTGTGGCCTGGAACTGATGGGTTTCTGAAGGACAATAGCCATGCTGCCCAGTGCCTGTTGAATGGGATGAACTTCATGGTTCAGTTGATATCTGAGCTTAGACTTAGGCTCACCAAGGCTATGACTTCTTAGCTGACAGGCCAGATCGCTCTTGCCTACTGGAGGCCTAACTCTCAGACCCTGAACTGCCACAAGTGTGTGGCATCCTTTAAAGACAGTAACACTAAGCATTGCTGCCAGGGCTGTGGGGAAGGTTTCTGTGGCAGCTGTTTGTCCAAGACATGGCCAGTGCCTGAGCACAGCTGGAGACCTGTGCCTACGTGGGTGTGTGACAACTGCCACCACACCAGGAATGCCCGGTTAGATATTACTGAGGCACAGGCATCTTTTAGAAGATGAAGGTGGAACACTCATTGCTCAGAAGGTGGGCAAGGCTGTGCAGAATACCTTGGGAGCCAAGGTGACAGCGACTGACATACAACTAGGCCTGTCCAAGGAGGCAGCCAGGCCAGTGTACTGGGTGCCTGACCATGAAATCCTGCATTTCCACAACTGCTGCAAGGATAGTAGAGAAGACAGTAGAGATCAACAGTAGAGAAGATTGTGAATGTTCCCAACACAAAGAAATGATATGTTTCTGAGGTTATGGGTATGTCTATTAGCTTGGCCTAAGCATTTCACATTGTATACTTGAATTGAAGTGCTACATTATAAATTTTAAAAAATGTACAACTACTGTGTTGAAAAATAAAAAAAATATATTTTAAAAGAAAGCACAAAATAGATGCTCAGTAAATATTTTGTTAAATAAGCCAGGCGTGGTGGCACACGCCTGTAATCCCAGCACTGGGGAGGCTGAGACAGGAGGCTCACTGTGAGTTTGAGACCAGCCTGGGCTATATAGTGAGTTCCAGATCAGTCTCAACTACATAGTGAGAAACTGTTAAAATATATATGTATATTTATATATATATGTGCATATATATATATATTTAAATGAAAGAAGAAGTCGAGCTCTCCAAGCACCACTACTACTGTACCTGTGGCCAGGGCTTCTGCGACCAGTGCTCCCACAACTGCCAGGCAATCCCCTCTCAAGGCTGGGACCATCCTATCCAAGTCTGCTTCAGTTGCAATAAAAATCTAATATCCTTTAACCCCATCTCCCTTCATGTGTGCTTCCCAATTCCTTAGGTTCTCAGGGTTAGAAACTGAAGTCTCACTGAGACAGGCTCTCCTCCTGGTCTCTGCCTCCTCTTGTGCTAGGGACACTTTTCTTAGGTGGGGGTCAGCCTGACCAAAGGCCCAGGGGCCTAACCCCCTCAGGGCAGAAGTACCTAATGTGCTGTTCCAGCTTTTAGCTTATGATGTGGGTCATAGGAGGTATTTGTGAAATCAGAGTGACAGCTCAGAAGATATACAACCAATGGCTAAATTTGTGAAGTGGTTTCTATTTTCCTCCCCAACAGATCCAGAAGAGAATTTGGGGATTTGTAGAAGTTGTATAAGGTAAGAATCAAATACTTTGTCCCTCTAAATTGCCTAACCTAGTCAGGCTTCTCTGAGGTGGGGCTTATGTCCTAGAAGATTATATTTCAAAGGTATATTTGCAGGCAAGCACCAGGAAACCTGTAATGAGGGGAAAACAAACTATGGACTTTGAGATTCTTCTAGAATCCCTTTGTTTAATTTTGAATTCTACCATATGCCAAAACCTGGAAGAACATGATAAGAATCCTGCAATGAGAAATCAAAATTATTAAAGTTAGAAAAAAAAAGCCTTTGGGAGAAAATGCAGCTATATAAAATCAGTTGATTAGCCTGAAGAAGAGAGACTGAGACATGAATTTCAGTGTTCCTGATATTACCCCCATTTTAAAATGCAGTATTAGCTGTTATTCATTTAACAAAATATTCACTGAGAATCTACTTTGTGCTAAATATTCTCTTAAAATATATTTTTATTTTTAATGAACACAGTAATTGTACATACTTTTGATTTATAATGTAGCAGTTCATACAAGTATACAATATGAAATGATTAGGTCAGGATAATTGACATACCCATAATCTCAGAAATATATCATTTCTTTGTGTTGGGAAGGTTCACAATCTTCTCTACCAGATATTTTGAAATAGCCAGTTAATTTGTGTTGGCCACGG